TGGTACACATCTTTAATCCTAATACTCCAGAGGCAAAGGCAGGTGGATTTCTGTGAGTTTGAGGCTATCCTGGTGTACAGAAGTGAGTTCCAGGACAGCCAAGGCTACAGAGAGAAACCCTGTCTCAAAAAAAAAAAAAAAAAGGAAGAAGAAGAAGAGAAGGAAGAGGAGGAGGAGGAGGAGGAGGAGGAGGAGGAGGAGGAGGAGGAGGAGGAAAAATCACCTAGCTCTTTTGTGAATACCTTTGCTTTATCACTGTAAATTCCACGTACTTTGATAACCCAGAGAGGTAAGTTTGGATAAATCTCTTGACAACAAATACACCAAATAGGTTTAAAGAAACTTTGCAATACTCTTAAAATTGTAGGGTAGAGAAGGAGGATGAGAAAGTCAGCTTTCTCCCTTCCCCCATCAGATTATCTTGAAAAGTCAAGAAAGCAGGAGGTTCCAATGTGCATAAAGTGGAGCAAAGATCTAGGTACGAGAAGTAGAGATGATGATTGATACATTTGGGGAAGGGAATAGGACTCAAGACTTAAACGTTGGGTTTATATAGGCTGGGAAGGAATCTCAGAATTTAAATATGTGGAAGCAAAAAAAAAAATCTCTGATCGGGATTTGTAAGTCAATGCTTTGAGGGCATCGGCTGGGAGAAGGCATGCATTCTGTCTTGTGCACACCAGTCTTTCTTGCACAGTCCATCCAGCTGTCAAAGTGCATGCGTTGTTGCTCTGCCCAGAAGGGAAGGCAGGAAGGAAGTACTAGTGGAGAGTGGAGCAAGGGGAGGCAACAGTCCTGGGTCCTCCAGCCTAGCAAGAAGAAAGCTCACAGGTATGCTTAAGGTCCACAATCCAAGGCAGCTGGAAGGACAAGGTGCACCAGAAAACACAGAGAACTGCTCATCACGTGCAGGAAGGTGGGAGACGAGTGAGGACGGGAAAGGAAAAGAGGAACTCAGTGGGGGAAGGAAGTTAGAGCTCGTCTCTTAATCTTGTGTGGGTGTATAAACACAACCTGCAAAGTATGTGTAGCAGCACACAAAATCTGTCAGTTCTGTTACGGATTCTACAAGATAAAGAAAAACAAACAAAAACATGGAAGAGTAGAAACTTCCAGGAGGCAGCTGTGTCGTCTAAAATCAATTTCATTTATGGTCAGCTACGAATGTCCATCATAAAAATGACTTAACTTGATGGGCTTTAGCTGATGATGATACTGAACTCTGGTCACATGTATGTGGTTTTAGGGGTTCTGGGGAGTTACAGTGGTAAAAACTAACGGCAACATGGGCTTATACAAATTGCTTTATCATTAAAATTTCAGTTTGTTCTGTTATACTTAGAACTTTCAAACTAGCTACAATTTATAAATCAGGCAATAAGATATCCAGAAGCCATTGTGTGCGGTATATTTGTGTGTGTTTGAAAATATTTTGGTATATTAATATGTCAAACCTCAGAATATAAATACTTCAGAATATAACTTGTTACTAAATCAAATTGGAGTCCATAAAGTATAGTAAAAGTACAAATGTATAAGACAAATTTATGTTGAGCTTTAATTTATTTAAAATTACATTTTTTGTTGTGTGTGTGTGTGTGTGTGTGTGTGTGTGTATACATACATACCAAGGCAAGTGAATTTATACATACATACCAAGTGAAGGTCATAATACAACTTGATGGTTTCTGGAATCAAACTCAGATCACCAGTCTTGGAGGCAGGGGTCTTTACCTCAAGAGCCATCTCTCTAGCTACTTAATTATCTTTAATTTGTACGAGGCACTTTATTGATACGTTCTTCTTGACATTTGGCGAAGGTCTTTCACTTTTGTGTGATTCGAACATGCAGCCATTCATTTCATTTTCACCCCATGTTGCTCGTGCCAGGGATGGAGCTTCAGTTATGCGTTTTTGGGGCTGTTTCTTCACTAAAGCTGGGAGTAGCAAGTTTCCCATGTTAAAATTCTAAGATGAGCCATGTTGTGAACTGCACTTTGTACTTCCCATATAGGCTCAGGTGTGGGCGCTCCAGGCTATTTACTGCCCCATGTACTGTTTGAAGAGGCTCCATCTTATGAGACCTTCCTTATGAGACTGCTGCATTCCTCACCTTTAACCTGAAGTTGAAGGTCGCCATAAGCAGGGAACAAATAATAATGGGTTAATTTGTAAGGTTAACAAACTTCAAGGTCGTCTTGAGGCTCCCAAGTTTGCAAAGTGTCTTAGAGGTAGGTCATCTTGGGGAGTGGCATTTATGAGGATGACCCAACTCACTGTAAAGTAGTGAAAGCATAATTTGGGAAGAGGAAGGGTGAAAGTGTAGAGCTGGAGGACCTTTGACCTCATGTTGGCTGCTCATTTTCAAAACCCTAGTTTGAGCCTCTGTCCCAGACTTCCAGAGACCTGGGGAAGCCTCTGAGTTTACATGAATTTTGTAGGGTCTTGAATCTTTATGATAAAGTGGCTAACCTACCAGAAATTCTGCATCCCAGAATGTGGCAAGGTAACACATAACAAGTCGTCACAAGGGGAGAGACGATGATGAGTAGCTTACCTCTGTATCTCATTCATCCCTTCAGCACCGAATCATCTTTAACCACCTGAAAAGACGGCTCTAGAAATGCTTATCTAATGGGTACATTTATGTTGGAAATCTCAGGACTGGACAGGACAGTGTGTAAAAAGAAATAGCAATGATATGTGGTAGTACTTGTTAGGAGCATAAGATAGAAAGATGCATATGGCACTTCTTCCAATTCAGTTTCCAGGAGGTGACAGGTCATCCATGGCTTTGAAGAAGAGGATAGGGCTCATACTGGAGTCAGAATTAGTGAAGCAGATTTTCCTGTCTTGAGACAATGCCTTGCTTATATTGCCCTCCCTGCCTGTTACTCAATGAGTCCCAAGCAGGACTCTGATTCAAGGCAATGTCCCACCTCTTCCTCAGGGTGAAGCAGCTTTTAAATTCACTGTTGTTCATTATTTATTTCCAAAAGCTAGACCTTGTCTTCCATCTGTTACATCAGGAAATTTACTCTGTTGTATTACTTTGGTTTTGTTTTTTGAGACAGGGTTTCACTGTGTAACTCTGGCTGTCCTGGACCTCACTCTGTAGACCTTGACTCACAGAGATCCACCTGCCTCTGCCTCCTGAGTGCTGGGATTAAAGGCGTGCGCCACCTCTGTGCAGCTGTTGCATTACATCTTGAACACTACTTCTCAAAGTCAAGGATGCTGGTAGGTAGCTGTGAGGGAGCGCTAGGGATTGAGGGCTGCATCTTAAGAAGAGATAAAGTAGAGGAGTGGGAACAACTGTCACATTAACAGGAAAAAGCAAAGCAGGCTGATGATAGAGAAGCAAAACCTCACCGAAGTCTGTTTAGGTTGTTGAAACACCGTACATTGGGTAGCTCAGACATTTGTCTCTCATAGTTTTGAAAGCTGGGCAATCCAAGATCTGCATAAGCAGGTTCTAGAAAGGCATTTTGGGGTTATGCAGACTTCTAAAATTTTTTGTCTTCTCATGGTAGAAAGAATGGGAAATGGGCAGGATTCTTGAAGCCTGTGGGGTCTCCTGACCCTGATTTTTAAATAAGAACATTAATTCTATTCAGGAGAGCTCTGTTCTCAAAACTTGATCACTTCCTTAACACTCCACTTTCTAATACCAATATATTGTGATCAGATTTCAAGATATGAATTAGAAGGGTGAGACACAAACATTCATATTTATTTATTATTAACTTAAAAGTTCAACATACAAAGTAATGAGTTTGTTATGGCATTTAAAAATATTTATTTTATGTATGTAAGTGCTCTATATGAGTGCTCTGTCTGCATATATGCCTTTACTCCAGAAAACAACATCAGATCCCACTAGAAATGGTTGTGAGCCACCATGTGGTTGCTTGGAATTGAACCCAGGACCTCTGGAAGAGCAGCCAGTGCTCTTAACTGCCAAGCCATCTCTCCATCCCCCCTATTATGGCATTTTTAGACATGTGTGCACCAGAGTTTTATATACATGCTCTTAGGGATAGCTATTAATTTGATTCTGAAAACTATCTTGAAGGATATTCAAGTATTGCTGATCTTTAAGAAAAACACACACACACACACGTTTATTTATTTGTGTGTGTGCGTGTGTGTATGTGTGTGTGTGTGTGCTCACCCACATCTTGGGTACTTGTGGAGGTCAGAGGTGGAGTCAATTTTCTTTTCATTGTGTGGATCTTAGGGATCACACTCAGGTCATCAGGCTTGAGGGCAAGTACCTTAACCTACTGAGCCATCTCTCCCACCCAAGTGCTGTTACTCTTAGAACTCAGAAAGCAATTTGCTCAGCGTCACACAGGTTGTAAGTTGATGAGCTGGAGTTCAAGTCCAGATGTTTGACTCCAAATTCATCGTCTTGTCCAGAGCATCCATGCTGCCTCCACGGTCAGGCAAGGGTGTCATCGACGTCATCTTGCTCAATTTTGGTCAGTCTAGAAATAGCTCTTAGGATAGATAAAGAGGATGGATTTGGAGGGAACTGAAAGCATTTGTTGCTAAGGGGGAAAGCAGAAGAAAGAAAGAGGCATAAACTCTGGGTATAGCTTTGAAGTAAATACCACTGCCTCCATCCTTCCCTGGAGTTCAAAGGCATCTTTGCTGCCTGCTGTTCTATGGCATGGAATCCAGCTGTGGATGGGGTAGGGCAACACAAATGGGCTCACATCCTTTCTCGGGGGGGGGGGGGGGGGGAGGTGAAAGGAGGAAAGCAATTTGCACGTGCTGAACATTTGGTGTCATGACTTCCAAGGCTTGTTAGATGCTTCCCAGCAACTCTAAACTTTATGTCTCTTCCTAAGTCCCCCTGTGCATTCCTTTCCTTCAACTTCTTACTCAAGGTTCTTCTTCTCAGACCACCCTACCCTTAAATTCCTTCCCAGTTCTGCTTCTGCTTCCACGGTGTGTGCTGGTTTGGGGAAATCTGGGATAATGGCTGTTCGTTTCTCTCCACACTGCAAGTAGATCTGAGGATAAAGGACACAGGCTTGAGGCAGAACAAGGGCTAAGGTTTTGCAGCTGGTTTTGTGAGTCACTGTGCACTCTGAGCACCCGCCCACTGGAGGCAGCTTAGCTTGTGGGAACGGTTAGATGCAGTCTAGGGACTGGGGCTTTCTCAGTGGCCTTGTCAGCTCACAGCAGAAGTGAACAGCCTTGAGTTGAGGAAATTGTGGCTGGACAGGCGCAGAGGTAGTTCTGCTCCATGTTCACGTTCTACTGACTAAGCTTCTGAGCCTATTCACATCTGAGCACCGAAGAAGAGAGGGGGTCACTGGGCCTGCTCCGTCTGGTGGGGATGTTGGGGCAAGCCGTCCTCCTTGCCCTCTTCCTGTTCCTCAGCGGTCACCAGGGTTACGGTAAGGATTCCTGGTTGGTGTGGGATGGGGCCTGGCATGGACTCGCCAGTGCATGCGTGTGTCCGGGAGATCAGAACGTGGAGTCTCTGATTATGCCGTCTACATGGTCACCTGGAATGCAGGGAGTAAGAGGAAAGACTGGAGGAGGTGGTCCAGGTCCCGTGGTCTGGGTGAAGTGTGGAAGCCGGAGTGACGTGTGCCCTCGGCTTCACATTCAGTTTTCACTCTCTGGGAGCAGCTTCATCACCAGCCATGGGCTTTCTTTTATCCTGTTTGCCCAAACACCACCTTGTCAATGTTGCCTTCCCCGCTGAGTGTCAGCAATTCCCCATCTTTCACTCTACATAATATTCTCTGTTTTCCTATCTCCATTTTACATATCACAGTGCTTATTTTCTGCCCCATAGTGTCTTCTTCAGCCCACTAGAATGTAAGGTCCTAGAGACCAGGACTTAAATATTTTTGCTTCATTGCTGTATCCTCAGCATCCAGAATGGTCTCTGGCACAAGTAGACCTTCAATACATATTTATTTTCATACTCACACCCTCCTCTGTTCCCATCTGCCCCCTGAATCTGTTTTGAGCAGCTCTGTATTAAGCCAGGTGCTAAACATTGAGGACCATGCTTGAATAAACCCTTGACACATATGTGTGTGAGCCCCTACACGCTGTCAGCATGGTGCCATGCCTGATAGAACAGGTGTTCAAGGTATGTTTGTTGAGTGAGTAAACACATTATTTTCTGGAATCATGGAGGTGGACTAGGAGGCTAACTTGGGTCAGATACATAAAAACAGAGAGGATATACCTGGGCCCTAAAGTTCATTTGGGGCCCTGATTCTGAAGAAAAGGATGGGCTGGGAATTGTGAGTCCCTGGATGCTCTGGGTCTGGGTGAGATGTGGTAGATAAAGGAAGAAAGGCTGGGACAGTGTCTCCCCAGTTAGCACATGGATTGTGTTGAGTCTTGCATTCCTTGGGGACTGATACTAGTTGTCACTGCTCTAGAGGGGACCCCAGGAAGGCTCTAGCAGGCCAGAGTGGTTTTTACTCAACTTCTGCTCATCACACCTCCTCTTAAACAAGGTGTGAGGGGGGAAGCAGCTGGGTGTGGGAGAAATTTTGGCTCAGGGACGAAAAGGAACTCTAGTTCTCAGAAATCACCCCAGGGGCAGCGAAATGATGTATTTACAAACAAACCCTCCTTATTAAAGATTGACATATGTACAGAAATGTACATGTCATTGAGTTACTTTTGGGACAACTTTCGAACAATCACATGTTCACCCCCAGTCATTACCTACTTACTGTCTTTTCCATAAATATAAGCAATATTCTAACTTCAAATCTCACAGGTTAGTTTCGCCTGGACGTACAGGCTCCTGGCTTCTTTTGCTTGACGTTTTATGAGGTTTGACTATGTTACTACCTGTAGCTTATCACTTTCATGGCTGTGCAATATTTCATCACATGTTAATATCACAATTTGTTCATTCTGTTATGGATGAACATTTGGACTTTTAAAATAATATTATAATAATGCTATGAGCCTTTCCAAACACATTAACAGTACATTTTCAGGGTCAAATCATGGGGGTTAAGTGTATATATTTCTAACAGGTGCTGTTTTCAGGAGTGCTTGAGTCATGCAGGACATGATATTTCATATTACTTCAGGACTACTTTTTTTTTGAGGGCCTGTAAACAGGAAATGAAATTGCAATGATGTAGAGCCCACGAAGCAAAAGGCCAAAGCCAAGGGGCCTGTGTCTTTGGAACTTCTTTGACATTTTGCATGAAATCTCTATAGTAGAGCCACTTTTGGGAGTGAAATGAAAGACATTCTTGAATTAATTAAGCAGATTCATTATGGCTTTACTATGTTCTGAGAATTAAGCAAAATTTTGCAAGGAAACAGTTGAAACCAATGTTTTTATTTATTTATATAATGTTTATTAAAGATAGAATTTCATGTATCCCAGGCTGGCCTGGAACACAGAGGTTTGGTCATGGGAGGCAAGGACCCTACTAATTAAGCTACATCCCCACCCTCAGATGCTGATCTGACCCTTGAGCATCTTTCAGACAGGAAAATAGGCCTGTCCAGTACTAACTACAAAGGAAGGCAGAAGATGGCCTGGCACTGAGAGTCAAGGTACATTTAAATGGATCTGAGCAGATGATGGATTCTTCCAGATGGGGGTTACAAGGGAACTGGCCTGGAATGGTAAGAGCTCAGAAAACTAGATAAAGTGGACCAATCCTGGCCCAGGAAATAGATTAAATAAAAGCAAGAAAAACATAGAGTTTGAGTGAGGAGCATAACACAGTAGTTGTCTTGGAGAAAGATAGACACGTCAGTGAACTGAGGATAGGAGAGAGACACAGCCTAGGTCAGTTTTGACAGAAGAGGGAGACTCAGCTTGCCTGAGGGGAGGCTGTGGTCAGTCAGTATAGAGCTAAGTGCAGAGGAAGAAGGAAGTAGGCTGTGGCCTCTGCAGGAATTCATTTTGTCTTGGCTGCTGCTGGCCCTGCCAAGAAGTCACTGGTCTCTTTTCACTTTCCAGCATTTGACCTCATCTGTTGTCTTTCCTCTAAGCCTGGTAACATAAGCCCAACTGAGAAAAACCTCAACATCCTTTTGCTGGCTAGTGGGAATACAACCCCTCCATCAGAGACTGGCTTCCCCTCAGGATCTCAGGCTTCCTAGCTTCCTGTGAGTAGTAAGTCAAGGTCGGAGATAGCTGAGCTGATTGATCCCTGTGCAGTGTCAGCGTGGGTGACTCCTTGCTGACTCAGACAGAACCCTTGACCATTCTTTCTGCTCCTTGCTCACTTCCCCAAGCTGTAGTGCAGTTCCTCACTTTCCCAAGCTGCAGTAGAGCTCATTAAATTTCCCCTGTCCTTCTTCTATAGACTTAATATTTTACCTCATCCGTTCTTAACCACCGGAAAAGAGCCCCAAGGCTGTAAGCAGCAGCAGCAACAGTGGCTATGCAGTCCCTGACCACCGGAAGTGGCTGTGGCCACTCCCTTCTGAACTGACAATCACATGCACACACTTCATCTCACTCTGAGCATGTAAGAGCTTGTGAAGTTACTCTTTCTTTCTCTCGTCTTTTCATATTAGCATTTCTCCCTTGAAGTGTATACCTCCCTGGGATGGGGACTAAGGTCTTATATCTCTCACAGGCTGTGTCTTTCCACTGTATCTACCCATGCCCCAGCTGTTAGGCATCTCCAGGAAGGGAGCACCAACTCAAATGCCTTTCTCCTTTCACTGGACTATGGCGATCTGTTGGGATACATTCTGATTGGTAGAGGTCACAGTCTGCAATAAGCCTAGTAGCTTTTTCTCTAAGCTTGGCAATATGGGTCTCCCTCCCTCCCCAGCAAGGCTTCCTGCCTCTACCTGCCCTTATCTGGAGGATGTCCCTGGGCCTGGAGGACTGACCTTATCTGAAAGCTGTCTCAAAACCAGACGCCTGTCTCTAAAGCCAGATGCCTGACTTACCTTTAGCTTGAACCCTGACAAAGATCCCTGCTGGAAGGCTCTCTTGATGCACATAGTAGGAGGCTTTTGATAGGAGCGTGTCTCTTAATGCAAATTAGGTGATGCCCCTGCCACTGTCCCCAGCCTTTATATTCCCCTTTCTTCCTGGAATAAAGTGGGGTTGTAACACTTAACTGTCTCCCCAGAGAGCTGTCTCTGCCTGGCTTAGGCGCGCAAAGCTCTGGGCTCCATCCTCTGGACTGCAGAAACTCGAATACTAACCCAGGTCCGTGACCCCAGTACACAGGTGCTGGAAATAAGCAGATGGGGGTGGGGTGGGGAGAAGCTGCTTCCATGCTGCCTTCCAGAGTTGGCCCTTTTGTAGTTTTCTGAGGGAACTCCACTCTTATGTGTCTTTTAGCTTCTTTATTTGATTGTACTTCACTTTTTGATAGGATTTCATTTTATCTGGCAGCCAGCAAGTCCTATGGACTGTTCCACTTCCCTTGCCTTCGGGGCCCCAGACACATGGTCTCGCTGCCTGTCTCAGGGCTTCTCCCTGAGTGCTGCTCTTCCTTTCTGTCTCCATCCTGAGAGCTGCTCTAGCATGCTCTCACACCCCAGGGGTGTCCCTGTCTTGCCATCACCTCCTCTTTCCTCTGTCCTCCGGTGGGGAGGCACAAACACAAAATAGTCGCTCAGATCTGAATCCCTGTCCTCAAGAACGTGCAATAGGCGCTCTGTCTGCTCTAACCATCTCCCTCTCTCCAGCTTGGTGTTTCATCTGTTTTGTTTGATCTTGATTTCATGACTTGTTTTGTGTGTGCTTGTCTGCCTGCTTGGCTGTTCATGAAGTGAACCATGTGCATGCCTGCTTGGTACACTCAGAAGGCAGAAGAGGGGTTTGGATCCTCTGGAGTTAAAGTGACAGGGGTTTGTCAGCTGCTATGTGGGTGCTGGAATTTGAACACATATCCCTCAGGATAGCAGCTGGTGCTCTTCACAGATGAACTATCTCTTCAGCTACTATTTTTATCTATTTATCTATCTATCTATCTATCTATCTATCTATCTATCTATCTATCTATCTAATGTAGCCGTGGCTATCCTAGAACAACTCTGAGAAATCAAAGCTGGCCTCTTCTACACAGCCAGTTCAAGGGCAGCCTGGGTTACATAAAAGATCCTGTCTTTAAAATAGATAGATAGATGATAGATAGATAGATAGATAAATAGATAGATAGATAGATAGAACAAATAAATACAATCAACTTGGAATAAACAAACACAGAACAAGGGAAAAGCAGTGCTGGATATCTAGCTGGCTTATGAGGGGAAGGGGAAGCCCTGTCCTAGGATGCTTCAAAAGCCCTGGGTTCCATCCTTTTGGTACTACCTAAACTTGAGTGTGCCGGCCCATGTCTGTAACTCCAGCACTCAGGAGCTGGAAATAGACGGGTCAGAAAGTCATCTCCAGCAATATAGCAAGCAGGAGCCATCCTGGTTG